ATTTGTTTATTGATTCCGTGGATAAGAACGATTCCGTGGAATATAAGTATAGCAACAATATTAGAACAACATTTCAACATTAAACATTTTTATTCAACATGAGAACTAGACGATGGGATAACGGTCGCTTATATAACTCAAACATCAATTTTGCGTCATGAATTATTATTCAATTGAGCTCGTTTCACTGCGAATAAATCAATCATGCAAGATTTTATTACATGACTTGTTGCGGCCAATTCATCGGTGCGGCTTGTCCGTAACAATGCCTTGACAAAAAACATTGATATTACATGTACGGGATAATGAGCCAAGATGTTCAGAAAAATGTTGAAACATCATTTAATTATTAACTTGCCTTTCTTTATTTCATATTTACTTGAATTAAAAACTTTTGATTTGGAAAAAATATGTCATTCATAATATCATAAACTTATTCTTTTTATTTTGAGCACAGCAGTAACCTGAAAGATAAGCTGAGCAAGTATAACTCAGACTTAAATATAATAATCTCCCAAATTGATACAACAACCATACTATCTGAGTCAGTGAGTCCTTCATTAGCACAGCTATAGTGGACCACAACACCATACTATCTGAAGACTCTTAACTATTACTATCATGACATTAAATCTACTAATCATATAAAAGTAAAAATAAGAAACAAATAATTCATCTTATACCCAATCATCTATCATCAACAATCTTCTCCTAATACTAAACAGTTTTAGAGGTCCATCTTAGTATTAGTTGCACCTGATAAAGGAGGAAATCAAATAATCTTCTCCTAGCTCTTTATAGACAAGGCATCCTCTGAAAATGTAGTTCTGATTTCTGTAAAATCAATTTGATTACCATAGAGATTCAGAGAGGAATTTAACTCCAAAGCCTTTGCCAAAGCTGTTGCTCCTGTCTCTCCAATTTCATTACATTGAAGATTCAATAAAGTCAAAGAGGAATTTGATTTCAGAGCCTTTGCCAAAGCTGTTGCTCCTGTATCTCCAATTTGATTATCATATAGATTTAATGAAGTCAAAGAGGAAGTTAATTCTAGGGTCTTTGCCAAAGCTGTTGCCCCTGTAGCTGCAATTTGGTTCTGACAGAGGCCCAAAGAAGTCAGAGAGGAATTTGATTTTAGAGCCTTTGCCAAAGCTGTTGCTCCAGTATCTCCAATTTGATTATTCTGGAGATTCAATAAAGTCAGAGAAGAATTTGATTCCAAAGCCTTTGCCAAAGCTGTTGCTCCTGTCTCTCCAATTTTATTATATTGAAGATTCAATAAAGTCAGACAGAAATTTGATTCTAGAGCTTTTGCCAAAGCTGTTGCTCCTGTCTCACCAATTTGATTATAACAGAGATTCAATAAAGTCAGAGATGAATTTGATTCTAGAGCCTTTGCCAAAGCTGTTGCTCCTGCATCTCCAATTTGATTGCCATAGAGATTCAATGAAGTCAGAGAGGAATTTGATTCTAGAGCCCTTGCCAAAGCTGTTGCTCCTGTAGCTCTAATTTTATTAGACTGGAGGTCCAATGAAGTCAGAGAGGAATTTGAGTTTAAAATTTTTGCTAAAATAATGGCTCCAGCATTTTTAATTTGATATTTTGAAAAATCTAACAATAGTTGATTTTGATAACTTTGTGTTTCTAATTGATCAAACAAAACCAACAACTGTTTGTAAAGAGTTCCATTTGGTTTAATGTTGAATAACTTACTAATATCATCTAGTCCTTTGTTGTACTGACAAAGATCAAGATAAACAGCTGCTCGTATATTCAGTGTATTTACATTTCCCTGTGGTTGAATTTCTAATGACTTGTTGAAATCATTTAAGGCAATATCATACTGTTTGAGTGCATAATAGATTTTTCCTCTTACTCCTAATGCAAACGTATGATTAGGCTTAGCATTTAAAAATTTATCCAAATTGCTCAATGCATTACCATGTTGATTAACATGTCTGATAATTCCTTGTTCTACTAAAACAATCATATTGCATGGATCCATTCTCAATGATTCATCAAGATCTTTTAATGCATAGTCATATTGCTCAAGCATGAGATAAACATGCCCTCTTAGATGTTGTGCTATTGTATCAGCTGGCTTAATTTGTAATGCTTTATTGAGATCTTCTAATGCATCTGCATGCTGACAAAGGTTAAAATAGACAGCTCCCCTTGCAATCAATGTGCTTGCATCATTTGGCTTAATTTGTAATGCTTTGTTGAGGTCCTCTAGTGCATCTGCATATTGACAGAGATCAAAATAGACAGCTCCCCTTGTAATCAATGTGTTTACATCATTTGGTTTAATCTCTAATAGTTGATTGAAATCAGCCAATGCCAGCTCATACCAGGTAAGAATATAATAAACATTACCCCTGACTTCTAATGCAAGTGTATCATGTGCATCAATCTTTAATGATTGTTTAAGATCTTTAAGAGCTTGTTTGTACTCTGATTGTTGCATATAGTGCTTTCCACGCCAAGCCCATGCCCTGGCATTATTAGGATTGTTTTGTATGGCTTGAGTTATGTAATCATAACATTTTTGGTAGTTTAAATTTCCATATATGCAATAGCAAGGTCAATTTGGATAGTTGAATTATCAGGATAATCAATAAGTGTCCTTTCAAGCCATAATATTGCATCATTATATCTCTTTTCATCAAGAGCTTTCTTGCCTTGCCTGTAAGTGTTATGTAAACTTAGTGGCATCTTGAATAATTGCAGAATACTTTTCTTTGGTTTCATTGGGAGCAAACATAAAAACTTTGATTTCATAATATAAGTCTCTTCTACATCATCACCATCATCCTGACTTGCCACAATAGCTGTAAAACTTTTTGCTTTGCCTTTTGTATTTGATGTAATATGCCCAGCTCTGACAAATTTGTCATACAGTGCTTTGTAAATTGGTAAGCTTGGCAATTTTTCAGTTTCATATAGTTGACATTTCTTTTTACAATAAAAACATTTCAGTTCAAGACAGTTCATCTTCATGAATGTTTCTAATGCCAAATAACTGATTTTGTGTTTGCATGGAAGTATTCTAAAATCATCTGTAACTTCTTGAGTAAATTGACATGTAAGATGATCAGAAACCATGTCTAAAATTAATGAATCATTTGGATTTGAATAAAGAAGCTCTTCAGATAATTTATCAGGTTTACTATTACTTGTTTTTTGTTTAAAAAGTGGCATTGGCAAAATTTTATCGCCCTTTTGCAATTAGTACACTCTTCGACTAGGGATTATTATTAGTCGTTGTTCTAATAACAGTTCTATTGTGCGTCGCTGCTGCTGAACGGAAGTTTCTATTGCTAAACGTTGATAACATGTATCTAGCCGGTTTGATTGTTTTGAGAATGAAAGAATCCAATTTATGATATTCGGTAGATCGAATCTGTCATATATTAACCAATTAAAGCATATTATTATACGCTGTGCAACGTACATTTAATGTACCTCGTCGGTTGTCATTTTCTCTTCATAAATGTCTTCTACAACAGTTCCCCACGTCTCCCTTCTCAATTCACTCACGTATTCCGAGTTCATCGCATCAATAAATACTCTCTTTGAACCTGCTCCCCCACTTGCACAGCGACTCTATACCAAACGCCCATTTTCTTCATATGATGTACTGATCAACGTTGCTGAATCAATAGTGCTTGGAAATGAATTAAGTATTGAAGAAAAGAAAGAGATAGTAAACGCTCATCCGAGGCTGGGTGAGAAAAAGGAAAGGTTATCTACGTTTTCTTTGCGAGAGCAAGGATATAATGACGCAGGAATGGGAGAGCAGGGAATAGACAGGGCAAGTGGGGGCCAGAGCGCAACAAATACAGAGAATACAGGTGTTCCTGAAGATGATGAAGTAAACGGAAGACTAAAAGAGTTAAATATGGAATACGAGAACAAGTATGGCTTTCGATTCGTTGTATTTGTCAATGGCCGGTCAAGGAGGGAGATTATTCCTGTCTTCGAGGATAGATTGAGAAATGGGGATGAAGAAGAGGAGTTGGCTATTGGATTAAGAGACATGATCAGCATTGCCAGAGATCGACTGAAGAAGGTCTCGGTTGAATGATGATAACGCACGCAATATGTTTTGTGGGTACTGGCCGAATAAACAAAGCCTGTGATATTACTTTAAGCGTTTATTTGACTTTGATTTAATTAAAAATAAAGGCAAACTGCGTTGAAATACACGTATGTTTGTTTGTCCTTATTACTCATGAAAGCAATTGCTTTCTAAATTAGTTATTATCAAGGTAAGAAGGTAAAGTGTTCAAAAAAAGAAATTGACAATAATAAGATACAGTATAAGTATCCAAGAAATCCAGCCGATTTGTTTAAAGACTTTAAGTTCTGCAAACGTACAAATTGCTCGTAATATCTGAATCGTATTATAACATATAATGTCCAGAATTTATTTTATCGAACGATACGCGTTCAAGTAAAAAATTCATTTGTCAATCATATACTATTTGAACTAACAAGTCTTTTAATCATTACTTTATGCTGTTCGCTCTAAATTCATCACCAAAGAACAGTAGAGTTTCCGAGTGGCGCCTGCCCATATTCCAGTTTGTTAAAGTGTGAATTATAGTAATCACTACGTAATATACGGGTAGGCATGATATTTTTATAGCAAACACTTGAATCAATTGAAGTCGGGCGACGAACATTATACTTATTAGTGGTAGTCAGTGGAAATGCCTGCCCTACGAATATTTCCCAATCGAATCTTTGCCAATTTGAATTTCCCCTCGTCTTTACATTCATCACTAATTTGCGTCGTAAATTGAATTAAATTCTCGTTGACTGGAAAAACAAAGACCCAGCATTCGACTTAGTATCAGTCTTTTCTTTTTTCGACGCGCCTTCCTCTGAAATTATTTGTGATACAATTACTGCGCCCCAACGTCATCATTTAAAACCTAAAAACCCAACCTTGTCTAATTGCAGGAAGACAGCTGACAGATCTTCTGGATCACGCAATGACTACTTACGAGGCACTCACAACCGAACAGGATTACTCTCAATACCCATCCGCAATGCAGACTAATGGCCTATCGGAGCAACCGCCGCCTGCTGCTGAGGGAGAAGATAATTCTCAGTCAGAGGCAGCGTCCGTTCCGCCCCCTCCTCCTCAGCAATCCGAGTGGGATCAGGCACAAGAGTTGGTTAATGCAAATCCTGACGTAAGTCACTAATGGATATAATAACCTCGCATACATTTACCAATACGTATTAAGACTCGGCGTATCAGTCCCAGCTCTTGTAAATTACGATGGTGTGCGCTTGGAGGTTTACCATGTTATACAATATATAGCGGTTTATAGGGTATAACGCCTATAAGTTTGTAGTCATAGTCCAAAACTGTTTTATCAGTCTTAAAGCTTATTGTCTCATACATACTTTGTCCAAATGTTATAGGACTTTGGAGCTTGGGAATACTTGATTCGTGTAGCAGAATCTGTAGATGGGGGCATAACAGCACAATCTTCAGAGGAGAATATTCAGAACGTGCGCAATGTCTATGACCGGTTTTTGGCCAAATTTCCTTTATGTTTCGGATATTGGAGAAAATATGCCGACATTGAGTTGGCAATAGATAGCGCTGCCGGAGCAGAGAAGGTTGGAATATATATCCCCACAAAACCTGTAATTGATCCTTGTCTCTTTTTACGCGAGATTCTTATTTGATGCGTGTCCTATAATAGATCTATGAAAGAGGAGTGGCCGCAATATCGAATTCGGTCGATTTATGGACACAGTATTGTCAGTTCAAGATCGAACATGCAGAGAGCGATGAAGAAATTAGAGGGTAAGTTGAGATGTAGTTGGGTATATTGCTATTCCTATCCTCTTTTTTCTCTTTAAGCATTTTACTACAATTGCCATGGCCATATAACCATGCCTTGGCATATCGAAAATTACAAAACCCCTTCCCTTTACACTATTGTATAAAGACACTTGAGAAGTGATAGATCATAAATGTCGATACGGGAACGCAGCGAAGTTTTTCTAGTGGTGGTTTAGTTGGTCACGTTGCTCTGTTGCTATTTCTGTTTTGTTTTCTGTTTGCTGTTTTTTTTCCTCTTCAGCATTGGCGTTGTATTTGTCATCGTATTATTACTGCTGCTGCTCTTTATATATGTATGATCACTTCTCCTGCTGCACAAGAGAGCAGAAGAAGTGTCACCATGAACAGCCAACATACAGGAAACTTAATTGTGTAATCAATTGGGTCCAAAAACATCCCCAACACTAACATGAGAGTTTCAGCATCCGGCGGAGAATGTGATCCGATATTATCAACTCTCTCTCTCCCCCTTTTGATTCACTTTATCTGGGATATCGGGTCAACCATAAATCTAAGTTATAGCATTTGAGTTTGTGACAATGAGTTTTCACTGTTGGAAAAGAGATCATTCTTTTCTTTGATATTCTGAACGAGAGATTACAGTATTAACACGTGAACGTTATTGTTGTCTGTTGTGATTAGATTATTTGAACGGGGTGCTGCATGCGTTGGACTTGACTTTCTTGCGCATATATTTTGGGATAAGTATATTGAATTTGAAGAATCAAGAGATGCTCATGATCGAGTGTTGAGTCTCCTTGAACGTATTATTCGAATTCCATTGCATCAATATGCAAAGTTTTTCGACAAGTAAGTATGATAGGGTGGCAATGTACACACATTAAAGCATATGTGTTATATACTGACGTGCAATTCTTACCTTGTATGTAGGTACTCACATTTATCACAAACGCGACCACTTACCGAACTCGTGTCCCCAGAGCAATATCAGCAATTAGAAGCAGAGGCGAAAGCAGCGCCAGCTACACAATCTACAGAGGGAGCTGAAGAAGAACAAAGTTCACCGGCTGAAAAGGTGAATTATTAGAGATTTTCCTGGATGTGAAAATTTAAGAGATTTCGCATTGACGATGACGCTTCATTTATTAGACAGAAGAACAGATCCAACAAGATATCAGAATGCGTATTTATAATATGAATGTGGATATATACATGAAAACACAAGCAGAAACAAATAAGCGATGGCCATTCGAACACGAGGTAAAGATAAATAGTTATAGTATTCAATGGATTATGTTCAATTGTTGTGACCCTTACTCGTGCATGAATCAAGACTAATATTTTCTTTTATTAGATAAAACGACCGTATTTCCACGTAAAACCAATGGATGAATTACAGTTGTCAAATTGGCGTAGATACCTCGACTTTGAAGAGTCAGAAGGCGATGATACACGTATTCAAGTATTGTACGAGCGCTGCTTAGTTGCGTTAGTAAGTATATCTACCTATTAGTTTTTTGATTATCACGATGAGTCAACCAAAATTCCAATCAAGGAAGTTTAAAAGTGCCTTTTTTTTGAACGCGCGAGTAACTTACCCGCTCCCTTAACTATGATTATCTGCAGGCTCTATACGATGAATTTTGGTTGAGATATGCACGATGGATGCTATCGAAAAACAGAGTTCAAGAGGCCCGAAATATATTTTCGAGAGCGATAACCGTATTCATCCCTGTCAAGTACGATTTCAAGCACAGTCTTTTGGTAACCGTATAATTCTCGAATGCTTACTTACGTTGATATTTATTTAACGCAGCCGACCGAGTATTCGGTTATCATTTGCTCTTTTCGAAGAAGAACAAAGCAGAATTGAAGCAGCGAGAGACATATACAAGGAATTAACAGACAACTGTGAGTCACGACAGCGTGATATCGTAAACTACTGTTATTACACTTTTTTGTATCTTTCAATATTAATCTAGTCTGTATTTATGATAGTACCGGGATGTGCAGAAGTAATCTACAAATATGCTAATTTCGAAAGAAGACAGAATCCAGGCGACTGTTCAATTGCACTTAATATTCTCAAGCAGTCACTTGAAGGGGATACTCTACCAGATGAAAAATCAGCTGCATTCATTAGCGTACAGTATGCAAATATGCTGTGGCGAGTGAGTATGAAATAGACGTACTTGCATGTGAGTCGATAACATTATTACATAATATTCATTATTGATAATTTCACAGTCTAAACAGTCCGTTGAAGAAGCAAGAACAATATATGAAGAAGGATCCGCCAAATTTCTTGGTAGTAAATATTTCTGGTTAAACTATCTAAATTTTGAACTGGCCCAAAATGGTAAGCATTATCACGTGTTTGCTCTGCTCCATGGACCTTATTGTTGCAAGCATAGTTTGAACCACGCAATGGTCTGTAATGTTTGTTACTTTTTCTTTTCATAGACGACCCGGCAGAACAAAGGATTACACAAGTCTTTGAGAAAATTCGTAGTGATTCAACAATTGCACCAGAGTCAATACGGGACATATCTCAACGATATCTCGACTTTTTAATGGAACGCGGTCAGTCGATATCAGCCATTAGCAAAGTAGAAATTGATCTTAATAGTCCCACGGCCCTTAGAGCAACCCAAGATGGTAAAAAGAGAGTAGCCGAAGATGAAGATTTAGATCGACCAATGAAGATGATGAGAGTAGATGGAGAGGGTGGTGCGGCAGCGGCAGCGGCGGCGGCGGCTGCTGGAGCTTCTGCTGGAGCGACGCCTTATGCTGCACAGACAGCGGCAGCAGCACAAGCACCTTACTATCAGGGACAATGGCCGTACCCTGCAACTGGTGCTGCTGCCCAGGTTGGTTTTGAGGTATTGAAAAGGGGGGAAGGAAGTTGTTTGTGTATTGTTCAGGTGTAAGATATTGTTTGTTTACGTGATGCCTGATATCGATAATGTGTTTTGTAGGGTTATCAATATGCTTATCCTTACGCACAACCACCGACAACACCAACAGCTCCGACAGCTGCAGCGACCGGTGTTGCATGGGATTATACTCAACCTAGCGCAACAGGATATCAATAATTCATACATCAAATATTATGCAAAATCTTATAGAAAAAGATACTGTATATAACCGATAGATAAACACTCATTTACAAGCTCGATATACTAAGATTGATGCGGCCATCCTTTTCAGTGTACTATTAAATAGTTTAACTAGTTGCGGCAATAATATAACGTGGTGAGAATGTTTTTTTTCTATCCATGAATGGTAAACTGAGTCGGCGCTTTATAATTTACCATAATAAAACTCGTTCTGTATGCATTCAAAAAGTACTACTTTGTCGGTGTTATCAGGCAGGAATTCACAGTTTCCTTGTTGCGAGGGCAAAAGTCCGTGTATTAAAGAAAATCGCGTTACATTATATACTTTTTGATTAATAGTTATTTCTTACTGCCAGACATTTCAACATTTGATGAAAATGACGCTTGTGAGAAAAATGTAGAATTATTGGCCGTATCGATTTTTGGTCATACGATCTAATATTAAAAGTTTCTAATCTCAGCCGTATTTTTAAACATGAGGAAGAAGAAGACGAAAGTAACTCGAATTCTCTCAAATCTCTCCCTACCGTCTTTCTGAAAGATGCAATAGTCGCATTTGAAACGGCGGCATTCAACAGGGTGAAATAGAAATTGATTGTGGTGAATTTAAAGCCTTTCGTGCATTGAAGAGAAGTTGCAAAGTAAAAACAAACTCGAATAAATTCATTTTGTTACTGATTAATATGACCGTTGTTATTATATTCATGTACTATTGATTGTAAAGATGTTATTCACGCAAGTCTCATTATACCGAATATTGCTTGACCTTAGTTTTATGCAAGTACCAAGTGGCTCATTATACCGAATCGTAGATGCCTCCACCGGTACTTCGGTATAACGAGGTCTTGTATTTGCAATTGCGTAATGACCAGAGCAGGGGTTTTTTGATTGCAAATGAAATACCAGTAAACATGCCGAGAAACGACTTTTATCTTATTTTCAAAAAGTCGTTTGCGAATACATGTACATAGCGGACACTTTCAAATGAATGTAACATACGCGTCCTTTAGATTACAGGCTAGTTTTTAAACTTTATTGGTTCGCATGAATAATTTTCCCGGCATATTTAACGTTCAATTAACGCAATTTCAATAGTTTCAAGTTAAACTTTTTGATCCTTGAATACATTATCTTTTAAATATACGATCAGCATTATATGTAATTATTTACGTCATTAACATTTTCGCGTGTTTCCACACGCATGTGACTGAGCTCGTGACATCCAAGAAACCAGCATCCCCTATCACTGATACCCAGAAAGGAGATATTTTCCGAGACCATTCGGAACTGACTTAAATGTAATGATGTGTAATAATAAAATGTGCCTCTAGATGCCTCAGTATTAATATTGAGTGTAGTTTAATAAACATTGAATTACTCAGGATGTTATTTGCGTAATCAAAATATACCCAGTCTATAATGTATATTGTAAAGTAATCCAATTTGGAGTCAACAAACGTCGTAGCGAAATAAACAAAACGTCATAGACAGGCAAACTGCAAGTCGTACAAGTCATATCAGAAACAATTCATCGTTCAAATTTTTTCTTTACGAGGGCTCTTTTTACCCCGTATGGTTTCGTATACATATACGTCATATCTGCACTTATTTCATTGTATACAATGAGAATCTTACCATCGAAGGAAATTGTTCTTTAATATACTACGGAATGAAAGAGCAATTTTACGAACGGATCTGTAATTGCTGATGCTGAAACTAGCCAAAGAATAGAATTTTATCAACAAATGAAAAGTCATGGTTTCGAATTTCAGCATCAGCCTCTTGTAGAACAGGAAATAAAGTTTGCGACGCCCAAACCCTAATCATGCGGTACCGCACTATGCCGTAGTATAAATGCAGAAACCTTTGTGATTTGAAATGGCTCATATAATAAAAGTATAGCCCGCAGGCATGTTTTAATGTAATACCTATTTGGGAATCGTTATTGTTATTAATACACTCGCTTTAATCGTCCCATTCAATTTATCTGTCATAAGACACCTGGCTATATTGTATTCGCGGTTGGAACGTTCACGGCCAAGAATAACAGAAATATGTGTCGAGCGTACAGCTGCGGGAGGGGGGGGGGGGGCAAATATATAAATAACGAGGATGTGTGAGATTGACAAAAGCTACAAACTTGATATTATTTGAATCAAATACCGCGTTATTAAAGTATTACAGAATTTTCAAATGATTTTCGCCTGGTGCAAGCGTCATAATATTCGTATTCCCTGGGTGTTAGCGCCATTAGCTCGCTTCAGCAGTCGAGCGCATCACGAACCACCCCCACTTTCAATAGACATTCCGCGAGAACAAATCAATGCACACCTCGAGACCATTTACAGAAACGCTTCTCTAGATACTTCCATCGATCCATCATGCCAGCGCACATTAAAACCCTTCTGGACTTCTTATAACACATGGCTGAAGAGATGCAAAAATCTTGAGGATTCACAGAGTCAAATAGAATACTGGCGTGCGCGAAGAGAGTTTTTAAGGCTAAATAGGAATTTAACGACAGGATTCAAACATAAACCTATTCCATGGAACATGTTTCACCCGCCATTACCCGACAGTGTACAGTACCTCAAAGCAATGGCACGGGCCGTGGTGATCCAACAGAACCGCATGGGCATCAAGCTACAATTAATTTTATTGGTGGCCCAACTAGCACTAAACGTGGTGTTCATTACAAGACAATTTATAAACGCGATAAACTTTGTTCCTAGTCCGATCGGGTTAAACACCACAGCAAATGACATTATTATACAAATGCCAAAGACGCACGAAGACTATATTCGATCTGCCACGGGGATAGGAACATTTGTCGAGTTTGCCGTCTTATGCATACACGTCATGGTCGGACTAGCACAGATTATCATATTTTTCAATGCGCACACTTTGCTAAATAAAGGACTGGCAGTCGAAAATTTAGTAATCGCCGTACAAAAGACGGCGACGTTTTCCCTTTTCCGATTTATACATCTTCTAAATCCGGCAAGATTTGTAACCGAATTTCATGACCCCCCGTTCTTGGAAATATTCACAGACATTGTTAAATTTAACCTCCATAGATCATCAGAGTGGCAGTCCAAGTTTCGTCGAGCATACCAAATAGTATATGCCTTGATTTGTCGTCCCATCTTGATCACATTGGGACTGTTAGCTTTCTATGTCAAGCTGTTGCAGGTTTCAGTAGCTTTGTCGTTCTTTTCCCAGCTGAACCTCGGTACATCCGCCATCGGAGAACTGTTTAATAGTCCAACAAGCGTTTTAACGTTTCTCGGACTTGCGAATAATGTGGCTAGCTTATATGGCATACCGCTCGAAGACGATCGAAAATTGTTTTTCGATCATGTGCGAATACACGAATACGACTTGCTCCATGCCATGTTATTAACGAGTTGTTCTTCTAATAGTGACGAGCCCAGCGATCATGAAGAACCAGATCGGGATCTTGTCCGTGCAGACTTGCCAATAGGCATCAAAGGGCATGTATGGTCAGGCTATTGGAACGTGGTATTATTTGCAATCGGAATCGGTGGAAAGGAATTGGTGAATGCGTTCTGGAACAACGTGTATGGAGGCGAGATGGATATAGACGAAAGAAACGAGGGGTTGAACAAAATAAAGAAAGAGGATGCGTTGGGGTTGTTGTACAGTGTCACTAAAACGTGGCGAAGGAGTTAAAAAGTAGACATTTTGGACATTTTGGACATTTTGGACATTTTGGAGCGTTCTGGAGATATAAAAAAGTAGTATTATTATTAATAGTATTATGTCACAATTTATATTTTTAGCTCAGGCAATTATTATGAATGCGTTCGGAAAGTATATAAGCTATAATATCTTGTATTTAGTTTCCACGCCCTTGCTCTGGTTTTCGGAGAAAGGCGGGATGTGGGTATGGAATTATTACATACGATTGGCAGAAGTATGCTATAAAATACAACATTCGATAACACAGGTAAATATATGCATTGTCTTTGAGATTGCGTAGTTTGTGTACGCAACGATTCGGAGTTCCCTTCCGTTGTGTTGGGATCGGCGCAGGATAAATAAAAGGGTTTTATGCGACACAAAAGAAAAAATTTTTTTAATGTGTTGTATAAATAATTAACAGCTAGAACAGCTTACAAATCATTAGAGAAGAAAAATATATGGAATCGCATTCCCTTGCTGAGCCACAGTAATCGACTTCTATGTAAGGCTAGAGGTTGACCCTCCTGAATTTACAAATATGGTATACTTCCCACATTGTTACGATTGTCATTATACACATTACTATTTCGATCTGTGAGCAATTGTGACGCCAATAATATCTCCACAAAAGAATATACAAATGCTTTACTTTATGTCCAGCGCAGTAATACCATTTGCTCACAAATAACTGTTATCAAATAGGGTAGCAAAGTCTTGAAGGGTTAATTAAGACCAAAGACATTTACCTCTTGAAATATTTTACACCGTATGTGTTTCATTGATACGTCATTTTATGAAACTACGAATGGGGACAGCACAAGTACTCTCTGAATGTACGCGTGTATGTAGGGTGTTGGTATTAGTATTAATAAATTACATAATAATATTAAACAATGATATTAATGGTTTGTTGTAATTTATTAACTAATTATCATTGCCCATAATAGAAATTAATGTTGATTTTTCCTTCTCTTTAACAATATTTGCCACTTTTATGTGTTCTTTTGTAGCTTGTACGATTTTAATGCAATTTCTTTTTACAACTAACACTAATATACAAAGGGCAAATTACAATAGCCCTCCTTGTTCACTCCGATAAACGGCAAATTTGTATCAGCCAATCAAAATCAGTGATAATTGAAGACAAATTTCGTGTTCACATATTGTTCTTTTCACTACAAGACTTAAGTGTTATTCTTTGCAAAAAAAAACATATTTCCGAAAGCCATTAGAGCCTTTTCTCGCGACACAATTTTTTATTTCTTAATAAAACCGTGTGGGAATGGGAACAACGGACGCTGCAAATGTTTGGTTTTTATCTGTTCCGATTATGTGATTTTAACCCGCCAATCAGGGGGATACAAATTGGAACGGAAACAGAACAGGGGCTAATTTAAGCATCAGGGTTATTTCGCTAAATATTTATGTATGGCGTAACAGTAAACAATCAGCACTATGTAGACTTTGCAACTTGACATACTGCATAGCCGAAATTTGAATTAAATTCACTTGCCCAGAAGGTAAATATTAGTTTCTATCACTATACTACCGACACGTATGGGTCGTCGTGTGCATTTTACAAATTTATTTTCTTATGAAATCGGCGAAATAGGGGAGTGAGCATTTATTACTAATTTTCAATTTAAAAGCTGTGCATCAGTGGTTGTACTGTATAACAAGTTGTATGACTAATTATAATTGTATTTTTTCTTTTATTTTAATATGTCCGATTGAACGAATATGAGACGCAATTTAAAAAAAAAATGTTGGTTTTTTTATTATACAAAAAGGCATTTAGGGTATTACATACGTAATTTATATGTCAGTTTAATACGATACATATTAAGTTATGTGACCAAAACTTTACAAACCTAAGCACAACATTAACATTATTTGAAACAAAATGAACATAAAATACGTGGGACAGACAACACATTTTGTTATGTGGCATAATAAAAAACTGACTATGACGTGTGTAAGAATAAACTGAGTTGGCTATTATCCACAACTATTGACTTTGCTAAAATGTAATTCACATTTAACCCTATTAAAATATGCCAGGATTACCTCAATAAAATATAATGTAAACTAATTTATATCAAATTTATTATAGAGCTCAAAATTAGCACTATCTAAAAGTTTTTAAAAGGCATAATGTAAAAAGTTATTTCTCATGTTTCAAAACAGGTAATACAGAATGTCTAGATAAAACTTTTCACTTATAAAATTTACCACATAAATTTTAATAAATGCCAATATTTAATAAACAAACAATTATCTCGCATTTTTAAAACTGAGTTTTAAATAATTCAAACGGGAGATTGATATTTGGAACAACTTCAAAGATGGGTCAAAATTAGTGCACAAAAATTTTGATCAAGGCTATCGTTAATTTTTATTTCAATTTAAACAGTTTGCCTACTATAGTTTTGTTTGTTTTTTTTGTTTGTTTATTCCATGAACTCGACTACTACACAGTTGGGCCGTTGTCTACAAATATGCAAACCCACTTCAAGTCTAAAAAAAAATTTGCTCTACCTCTTCCGCTATTATTATAGCTATATGGTAAAGGTCTGCGAATACAATGTCTTAATTGAAACATTGAATCATAATCAGTAACAAAGCTGTTGACTATGACGGCAAAAAATTTGTTCGCAAGATATCAAAACGCCGCAGAACAACTATACGATAAAAACATCAAAATTTACCTTCATAAAACACCTGATGCTGGAAAATTTGTTGTAGCTTCCATAATATAAAATTTCAAAAACAAACTCAAAAAAAAAAATAACCACAGTCGTTGGATTGAGAAAAGGTATACCATACAAAAAAGAGAAATACTAATTTGGCTTGGAGGGAACGACTCACTGATTTATCGTATAACAGATACTGTAAATTCAAGACGTCAATTATAATGTCTATATTTTGTGCGTAACTTCAGCGTCGTGAATGCTTAGTTGTACGCGTTCGTCAAACGCAGCATCCGTCGTGCGTTTACTTGGACAACTGTGCATACGTTTATGGAGGGACTCGATGGGGAAATTGTTGAGTATGAATTTCAGCAAGATAATGCTACTGTTCATACAAGCAAACTGACAAGGACATTCTTTGATGAGTCAGAAATAAACTTGATGAAATGGCCTGCATTTC